GACGAAAATTCCGTTTTTTGTCATGGTGACGAATATTCCGCTGGAGACGAAAATTCCGAAAATGTTGGAGACGAAAATTCCGAAAAGTCTTGGAGACGAAATTTCCAGAGACGAAAATTCCGGCACCCTTTCACTGAGCCCTCACGATTGAGTTCGCACGACTGAATTGCCCTTTTATCTAGCTCAACTGAGTCCAGAAATTTAATAAAATTAAAAGGCTTAAATACAATACGGGTATATACAATACTGGGTTATTTGGAGAGATTTGGGTGTTTAAGGGGATATCAATGGATTTGGAGGTTTATCGAATGTAAGGCGTATATCGTTATATTTGGAAAGCTAATGGCGGATTAAGTGGACTATAATTGTATAAGTAGACTATAATCCTTTTACTTATAACCATCAATCGAATCGGATCCAGATAATGAAGAGTATTTATCTGATGATTTGGATGATGAAAATAATGAATAAATTATTTTTACACGTATTTTTTAAGTAAAACTAGCGATGGGTTTGACCACTGGGGAGCATATTACGATACTCTGGCGGTAAAATTTTGGGGTGCCCGTTGGAAAGCCTACCGGCTTTGGGGCGCGCTTCGCGCGCTGCTAGAAACAGTTACATTTTTATAATTCAAACCATCCCGTTTTTTACCGTGCTTAGCCATTGTTGTATAACATTTTATTATTATACAACAATGCCCAGGGTACACCACGTGGAGGTGCACGGAGGGAAACGGGCAAACCCTGTACCCCGTGGGAAGGGCCCACCCCAAAAATAAATAATAAATAAAATAAATAATAAAAATCCCCCAAATATAATTAATATAATTAAAATAAACTTAAAAACAAACAAAAAACAATGAAATACTAAATCGGTCGGCAGAAGCCTTCCGTACGATTATGCCTCTATTAGACATAAAAGTGAATAATAATTAAATAAATAAATAAATAACAACAATGAAATACTTAACCGTTCGGCATAAAGCCTCCCGTGCGATTATGCCCCTATTGGACATAAAAGTGAATAAATAATAAAAAAACAAATGAAATACTAAATCGGTCGGCAGAAGCCTTCCGTACGATTATGCCCCTAATGGACATAAAAGTGAATAATAATTAAATAAATAAATAACAACAATGAAATACTTAACCGTTCGGCATAAAGCCTCCCGTGCGATTATGCCCCTATTGGACATAAAAGTGAATTAAAAAAATAAAATTAAAACTCAAATAGCTATAAAAACAAAAATAACCAATTAAATAAAAATAATTAAACACCCCAACAGTAATACAAATTCAATTCCCAAAAATCATTCCCAAAAGAAAATATAAACCAAAAAATAACGTTTAAATATTAAACCAAACAACATAAATAAACTAATAAATACAATTAACAAAAACTACCAAATATAAATACATAACACAACCCCACATAATTGTCCCAAAAGAAATCATATGATCAAAAACTACATTCAAGATACAACAAAAAAACAGCAAAAATAAGACACACAACAACTAAAAGTCAATAATCAAAATAAATTTTTAATTCTATCAAAAAAAATTTTGGAAACAAAATCTAAACTTTTTCCAACCTTTCTACTAATTATATTTATTTATTTTTACATTCAATCAAAAGAAATTCCTCTCGCCACAACATTTCTCATAGATATATTTCCATTATTATCCGAAGTTTTACCAGGTGCAAAAACTCTAATGTTTTCTCCACTTCTGGCCCTTGAAAAAGCTGTATAAGTCTGGCCATGAGCAAAAGGCTCATCGCTTATATCAATCCCTAAACGTTCACAAGTCTGCCCTTGGGCTTTAGTAATAGTCATGCAAAAAGCAACCCTTACGGGAAACTGAAATCGTTCGAAACTAACACAATCAGGTCGAATGTCTTTATAACTATTTTTTGTACGACATATTCCAATAGTAATACCACGATCAGAAGAACCACTTATGGTTTCTGCTTCAATTAAATCTTGATGTAAACGCCTAATAATCATTCTGGTACCGTTACATAAACCCTTCTGGGTATTTAAATTTTGAAGCAAGACAACTACTGCACCAACTTTAAGTTTTATATTATGGGCAGTTTTATATTATGGGCGCAACTTCATACTCAGCTAAATTATACGCAAAAGGATTTTCACTCGTGGGATTATCTATTGATAAATATTCTTGAACAGGCGAGTCTATCAAACCAACAATTTCTTCATTAATCATATCAACTACTCTATTAGTTGGTGAAAGAATTAACCTTTTTAATAACTCGTGAACCGGTGCATCAAATCCAGTGTTAAATACGAACGCATACAAGTCTTGGCGCGAATTAACCCTCATTCCTTCTGGTATACTAACTGAATCACCTGTTTGACCAGTTCCAATACTATAAAGCCAATCTTTAAACTTAATTTCTGAAGGAATTACACGCATATTTTGTAACAATCTGTGTTTTTCGAATCTTCCATATAAATCTGAGGATTGGATTGATGCTGCCACCTGTGCTCCAGGTGACGATGAGTCATTAACTACAGGAAGGGACTGCTTCCAATCACCTGATATTATAACTATCTTTCCCCCAAAAGGCTGTTCTTTAAACTGCGGAATTAATTTTTTACACAAAATGTTAACATTTTCAAAAACTGTCCTATTTAGCATTGAAACTTCATCAATAATTATTACATTAGCCTCGATAATCCTACGTCCAAAGTAACTATCTGCTGTTACAGGTGGTATAACTCCTGGCTCAACATCCTTACCAAATCTAAAGGCAGAGTGAAATGTCATCCCACCAGAGTAATAATTAGTGGCAGCAATTCCAGTCGAAGCGGTCGCCAATACTTTTTGTCTCATTTCCCTTAATTTATAAATAACATAATTAAGAAGGAAAGTTTTCCCTGTGCCCCCATCACCAGACAAGAAAAATAATTTATTTTTGGTAAACGGATCTAAAACTGAAGATCGAATTATATTGAAAAATCTTTGCTGTTCAGGATTTAGATTCGCGTTATTAAAAATAGTAGTGTCAATAGCTTCATCCATTTCATCATCGTTAATATGATGCGGAAAGAAAAAATCTTCGAGAGCCCTGTTTGGATCATTTATTAACGGACGAGTAGGAGAAGGAAGATTAAATTCCTGCAAAGTACGACCCTGACTTAGTAACATTCTTTCTATAATTGCCAATGCTCTGTCAAGTCTAATTAATTTTTCTGCTTCTGAACACCTTCTTCTATCATAAAAATGATCGACAAACATATTCCATAGTAAAAGACCATCAATTACACACTTTTCAGTTCCCCCAAAAGCAAGAATATTGGCAAAAAGCTGTCTCATCTGGGAAGGATTTAAGGAAATAGAACCTTCTCTTAAAGTGCGTTCCCAAACATTATTATCTTCAAACAATCCTCTTAATCTAGCAGCCTCAGCAAACGTTAAACATGCATGACCATTAACAGTTAAAAGATCTTCGGGCGTGCCAGGAAAATGCTTAGTTAAAATGTATAAAGCAAATTTTTCCGGATCCCTTGGTGACACAGAAAAAATTCTCCCTATACGAGGTTTGCGGTTCTTATTTTTTTCATTAATATTCAACTTCTTCCAAACCCTATCTTTATTATTAAACGCGTACGTTTCGGGCATGTTTTCGAAAAGAATATTTTTAACTGCGGAATCCTTATCACATAACTTCCAATAAGCAGAAAGAGGCGAATCTGGAATATTACCCGAATTAATAGCATTAATCAATTTACTTGTATTTTTACGTGTAAAATAAAGTTTCTGATTTTCCGGTAAATGAATAGTTAATGCTTTTACAATATGTGATAAAAAAGCATATTTATACGACATAATTCTTGTATACGCTTCAGTTGGACTGCGATAAATCATTCTGGCATAATGCAATGGTTCATCTACATTTATAAGACCGCTAGCCTCGCTACGTACATAGGAAAAACTCGAACCCTTAAAAGGATATTTTAAAGCATATTTTAAATTATCAGTCTGTCCGTAAGCGAATTCTAAGTTATGGTGGCATTGAAACATAACCAAAATAAGTGGATTATACGGTACAACTCTTGAATTGTCATAAGTGATTGATTCTCTACCCCGCTTTATTTTTAAAACCTCGCCACCATCCTCAGGAGAAGGCCGATAATATTCTGCCGGCGTATTCTCATGCAAAACAGTAATATTACTAAAAGGCTTTGGGAACCCCTTTTTACATTTACCATTAGTCATCTTACAATGCTCTGAGCAGTCATGAAGCTGATAAAGCGGTAACAGTTCTCTAACTTTTCTCATAAATTTTGCCCACCCAGAATTATCATCTGCAGGAGGTTCAGGTGGTATATGAGCATAAATTAAATTTTCAATATTTTCAGGGGTTGCAACAATATTGGTACAGAAAACTCGATGTAAATGCGGTCCGCCAATCCTTTTCTGAAACTCCCTACTCTCACCATATCCCAAAATTTTTCCAAAAATATTTTTTTGTTCAATAAATAATGCAAACGTCTTAACTTATCTTCATAAACACGTGAAATAATATCGAATCTATCCACAATTTTCTGATGTTTATGAAATAAATTCCTTTTAGTTTCAGGCCAACGTGGATTACTCGTGAAAGTGAACATAAAGGAGGCGTTTTCAGGTTTACGAACTCTAGCCATAAGAGTAGTGGCGTCATAAAACATGTCCTGAAAATACGGTCTCGTGCCAGGATGATAAGACCTAAACATTACAATATGCCCTAAATCAGCAATAGAATTAGCACCAGAATCCCTTTGTAACCACCTAAGCGCATCTGGGCCAATAGTAGCACGCAAATCCATGTCATCATTACGTAAATAATTAGCTACTTCGGAATCTATTCTAGCTGTGTAATCTAAAGCATATCTTTGGCTTAAACCTCCGCCAGAATTCCAAATATTATGATAATCCTCATGCTTTCTTATCGCTAATCTATATTTAACATAATCTCGAATACTAATATTTTTACGACTGTTTTCTAAAAGAGGATCAGGTTCACAATCAGAACAATCATTATCACTTTTATCTTCAGTTAACACTTTTCTAGCAAACGGAATCTTATTATGATAACTATCATCTCCACACGGAAACAAAAGAGGGTAACATAATGTATCTGTTTGAGGATGATGTGGCGGAAAAATAAATAACTTCCCTTGATCCCCAGTAATAAAAAGCCCCTTTAAAATAGGAGGTTCGTCTGACTCGGTATGCAATGAAAACAACGTTTCCTCTGTAGGCAGATTAACTTGTCTAACATGTAAAGTATTGTCTATTATAAGTTCAGGCGCTTCTCGCTCCTCCAAAAGCACGAGTCTAAAATTTTGCACAGAATCAGGGCCATCCCTTTCTAACTTGTCTAAATATTGTTCATGAAAAGATTTATAAGTATTTGCAAGAGGATGGCAATTTCTAAGAAGAGTATCTAAACTTTTTAATACATCAGGATTAACTCTATCCCCTCCATAAGAAACATTAGAAACTCGATGTTGAAAAGCAGTATCAGCATCTAATATATATAACTGGGAAAATGATGGTCCCGAATCTCCAGCTACCATCGAACTCATTTTTCTAACAAATTCGCCATTTAGTAGATAACAAACCCCACCATAAAGTTTAGTTTCTCTGTGGCCTACATAAACCGACGCAAAAGCAAGGAGGGAATTGTATACATTTTGTTTTTTTAAAAAATCTAAAGAATCCTTAGTATCACCTTTAGTTAAGTCTTTTAATAATTGAGGATGGGGTTTAAACGAAGGAAGTTTAATTACACCACAACGACAACAATATGAAGACGAAATCTTTTTAAACTTCTTATAATGTGCGTCATTAATTTCAGAATTAAACAACATTGCACCGCAATAACAACAGTCAGCGTCTCCAATATTTCCAGAGTCATAATAGCTAACAACGTGCCTTGCACGCACATCTGCACAAGGATATAATTTATGGGATAAATGACAACGTGGAGTAATTTGATTCAAAGAGGCAATGTTAATATTAGTAATATTTAAGTCAGAAATATTATTATTCTTTAAAGCTTTAATTCTTTCAGACCTCCTTAATGGCGGATCTGGTTCTAAATTCAAAACAGGCAGATCGTTAATAACACAATTATCTTCCACATTATTACCAAAATCCAAATTAAAACTAAAAACATTATTATTTACTGGTGCGTTTCTATGATAATTATCAAAAAGCCCAACATAATTAATATCATTGGAAAGAATCAACTGCGAAAGATTCCATAAAATTCGTTTCCTCTCGTGATGAATATTTAAATTGGGAAAAACTAATGAATTATTATTAAACAAATATAATTCAGAATAAAGGCAAACAAAAAATCCACAATTTACCCCATCAAATTGTTCAACAAAATCCCCACGAGGTATAGGATTAATTTGAATTTCATTCTCGTTAACATTAGGAGTCAAGTCAATTATAGCTCTCTTAATCAAATCAATACGCCGAATGTCAAATCCGGGATATCTAACATTAAATAACCTGTCAACCGCAGGTAAAGAATCAACAAACAAACAAACAGGATTATTTCGAACAAATCTATCATAAATTACAAGAACAAAATGACCAGGAAAACAAATTGGCATGAATAAAATGTCATAATTGACAGAATGATTAAAACAATTTTCTATAGGAATTAGCGGATCTCTGTCCCCATATTGATAATCAACAAAAGAATATGCTGGGTCAAGTACAACAACACGTTTATTTGTGTGAGTGGTCAAGTATTTAAGATACGAATAAATATAATTCTCTTGTAACCAAGAATCCGAATCAGACCACATTTCCTTAATATAATCTCTTGCGACATTAATATTCATGTCACAAATACGATTATCACTATGTAAAACAGGTCCAAAAGGAATATCTAATAAATCAATAGACAAAAAAGCAGGTTCTAAATTCATATTCAAATTATTATTAGAAACAATTTCATTAAAAATAACATTTTTAGGTCTACCCCCACAATTTTTCCTTTTTTTCGGTCTTCCCCCACGAGAAATCGATGAAATACTATTTGGGGAAACACTACGTGAAACAATAGAATTATTCAAAACATCAGAATTATCAAGTACTAAACTATTTTCCCCTTTACTACCCTCTTCAATAAAATTACCAACAAAGGAAATATTATTACCATCCAAAGAACCATCCACAGAATCAACCTCCATAGAATTACCATCATTAGCAATCAGCCGTTGACGATATTCTTTACCCAATTTTCTTTTATTTCGTTGTTTGGAAGGCATTTTTATAATTTATTAATAAAATTTAATATTAAAATTTATCTAAAAAGGAAAAATTTTTAAGCAATTTAACTAAATGTAGACGATATTAAATTAATACAGGTGATTTTTAACCTATTTTAATTTAATTATTAATTTTTTTCAGTTATAACTTTAGCTGAAGACGACTGCATCAACATTTCGCTGATGTAGTTGGATTGTATACTGTGTTTTGTGTATTGGAACGGTAGGTTAAATTTTTTAAAAATATTTAAATTCCCCCATTTTAATTCCATCTATAAGCAGAAAGAAAAAAAATAGACTGACGCAGTTAAGAAATCGACTCAAAAAAATTCGGCATGACCCCTCTGCACAAGCGGAGCATCAATACGCAATTTGTTCTCCCCCGCGTATTGGTGCTCCACACTCTCCCCATACGGGGGTACAAGATCTCCTTCCCCCGACAGGATAGGAAATCAAAGTGGGGAATCTAAATATTTTTAAAAAATTAAACCCACCTTTCCAATACCCAAAACACGGCATACGATCCAATTTTACCATCATCATTTCTCAACATTCAATTAATTCTTCCTCCATCCCCCGGTTAAAAGAGTTTCTCCTTACTAATAAGAGGAGATTCTATGATTAATTGTACTCTTTATGAGTAAGAAAAAGCAAGATTTTTTCGCAAAATCGGATATGAAACTTGCTTGATTAAGAGAACACTAAAAGGAGCATTTTCTGATTAGATTTCTTTCTAGATAGTGGGGGCATACCGATAAAAAACCGGCATGACCCGTCTATCCAGAGTGAAACCTAATCAGAAAATGCCCCCTGATTAGTGTCCTCTTAATTAAGCAAGTTTCATGCCCGATTTTGCAAAAAAATCGGGAATGACCCCTACTCAATAAAGAGTAAACTAATCAGAGAACATCCTCTGATTAGTAGGGAACAACTCCCTTAGCCGAGGGAGAGGTAAGAAACAAACCTTGTTGAATGTTGATTGTTGATGCAGCCAGCAGGAGCCAAAAGTTATTACTGAAAAAAAACTAAAAAAATAATAAAAGTTAAAAAAAGTAAAAAAGCCCTAATCACACCCCAAACTCGAATTTTGTAAATTTCAAAAAATCCCAAATTTCTCAATTCTATTCGGAAAACTTAACATAAATATAATCAACGGGCCCTAAATTATAATTTATAAACAACTAAACCCCAATAAAATGTCGAAACCCCAAAAAAATCGTAAAAAACTGGAAAAATCTCAAAAAATGCAAAAAGCGAGTTTTTGCAATTTTCGTGTTTTTTTTCAATATTTTTCAGGAAAAAAGGCCTGGGGTGTGATCAGGGCCTCTAAATAACAAAAAAAATAAAAAAAACTTTAAAAAAGGACCCAAAAATTCCCAAAAACCCTAAAAAACATAAAAACGCCTAAATCAAAAACTTGAAAATTGAAGGACAAAAGGCCTACAAGCCACTTTGGTCAGAAAAGTTGTTTAATCTGAGTATCCGAACGCTATGAGAAGTGAAGGAAAGTAAAACTATGGGGTAATAGGCAATCGGCCCCGGGGAATTCAATGGAAATATTTTCTAAAGTGACAATTGAGTCTCAAGTGGTACAATTGAGTCTCAAAAAGGTCAAATATTTATATCTTGAAAATTTTGTGTGGGGAGGTTTTGTCTGTAGTTATGTTATTTATAGGCTTTATGTTAGGAACATTTCACTTGTAGGGCAATTGATTTCTGGAACAATTTTTTGGGGAGATATGAATCAAAGAGTCAAACTCGAAATGTCGACTTTTTAATACGAGAATTTAAACAGGATTTTAATATCCTATCATGTAGAGCGTCTTCTGAAACATCTAAAAACATATACTTTGTTGGGGGCCCACTTGAGTCTCAGAATGTTATAGGGCAAAAACGGCTGGGACTGATAATTTCTGGGACTCTAACTTCGCAGGGAACTTTAATATAATTTTTCTGAGACCGGATTTGGACTCAGCAGGTCAGATTGTATCATATAGGCATATTTTTCAACAAACAAAAAATTTTTTTGCATCACCTATTTTTGACCGAAAATTGCGACCGATAAATTCAAGTAATTCTTCAAAAAATCATAACTCCCCAAAAATTGACCCTTTTGAAACATTTTAAAAGATTATTATATAGAAAATTTTATGTAATATTTTATAAAAATATATTTAAATACCCTCAGCCTCGATATACCCAAGAAAATTTCAAAAAAACCGGAAAATTTTGAATTTTCAAAAAATCGACCCTACCAGGCCTCGGGAGCATTTTTTCAAAAATTTAAATAGCTCAAAAAATTTGTAATTTTTTGCTCTATTTTATGAATTTTAATTCGTTTAGTTACGAAAAAATGAGCAAAGTTACAATCGATTTAAATTCCACCAAAAAATTTCAAAATGGGTAACCCTTCAAAAATGTGTCAAAAATTCGACCTCGAGAAAAATATGTTTTATGGTACTTCAATAGGTGCTGAACACGAATCTGGAGTCCTTTTATTTTTAAATAGTTTTTAAAAAAAGTTATACTCAAAAAACCAACCACTTTTGACCCCAAAAATGCCACTTTTTGCCTTATATCTCCCAGGGGCTCAAGTGTACCCCAAACAAAGTATATATTTTTCATACATTCAAAGGACGCTCTATAAACTGCTACACTCAAATCGAACTACGGTTCACGCATTAAAAAGTTGAAATTTTGAGTCTTGCGCCAAGACTCATATCTCAATCAGAAAACATCCCAGACTCGAGTGTCCCCTAAGTGAAATGTTCGGAACACTCTTGCCTTCAAATAATACTTCTACACCCAAAAGCACTCCACCCAAAAATTTCAAGTAATAAACAGTTGAAATTTTCAAGACTTAATTGTGCCCCTTAAGACTCAAGTGTCCCCCTCAAAACCATGCCCATTAATTTTCTCTTGGTCGATTACCTATAACCTCCCAAGTTCCATCTCAATCGGTTCAGCCACTCTCGAGATATAACAAATCATCAAAGGATCGCTACCCAGTGACCACGACATTTGGCCACCATTTAAAAAGGGTTAAGACGGCATATCTGTATTAAGACTTTACCAAATTTCGAAAATTTTTTTTTATTCGATATCCTCATTTAGTGACGGAGTGCCCTCGCAGCGGAAGTTTTCCGATCCAACAGACGGTTCAGGAGATAGTAACTTAACCAAGGCCGTTTTGGTGCCAAGGGTTCATCGTGGTACCGAGGTTGAAGTTTTCCTAGATGCTCCGTAAAAAGTTGCAGGACCCTTCCACAACTTTCAGGCTACTCCGAAGCGGCCTGCGGCCGCCCAAGTTTTTTAAAAAATCTCGATGGGGTTTTTTATTTAAGTATTTAATAAAATTTTCTATTAGTCTCGGTCAGTATCGTTTCTCGGTATCGGTCTCGGCTCAAAATGATGGTATCGGTCTCGGTATCGGGTTCT